GATATATCCTTTATGATGCATCAGGATTTCATTCTGTTGACTTTGGAACTGGAGTTTCAGCTTCCTAGGTGTCCAGAGCTGCTCCCTGCTGTTTAACATCCATTTTAATGTAATCCTACTCCTTTCTTCACATGTTTAGAGTTTGCCCGAGTCTGAAATCCACAAATAATTTTACCAAAATGGCTTTTCACATCTGCTTATTGAAGCAGACCCTTTTAAGGTCCCAACTTTTCTTTTCAATAGTCAGATTGTAACTGAAATGATCTTGAAATGTAAACTTACAATCATCTACTGTGGTGCCTTTAAACAGTGCTAACCTTTGGCTTCACCTCTTCATGTGCGTTAGGGATAGAAAGTGTGGATATAGCTGCATCAATTATCAATTTGTTTTGTGCTTTGAATCTAATTTTTATGCAAATCCTCAGGACAGTGAAGAAATGGACACATCCTTATCATGTTCTAAACAAAATCTAGCATCTTCAAAATTTAAGTGTATGTCTTTTAAATCTTAAACATCACAATTATTATTTTTTTTACTAATTTACTATTCTTTTCTGCTTCTCAAAATGTGAGTTTTTAGAACACTGTCAGTATGGAAGGATTTTGATACAGATCATACACTATGCATTATTCTTATCCTACCACGGGAATAGGTATTAAAGATCATTATCAGCTGTCCTCTCAATTGTTGTGCCAATAGTAGAATTTTTCTTCCATCTATTCAAACCAAATATTTGCTAAGGGCATTTCCCCATAGTATTGAAATGTTCTCAATAGCGATTCAATAAACTTTCATAATGGAGTTGTAAACTAGTGGGAAAACATTGCATCTGAACAGCAAGGTGGCATGAGAGCAAACCCTTATTGAAACATGGGATTCGGGCTGTAGACTTTTCTTCCATGGGTCCTTGTCCAATGAAGTTGAAGAATAAATTCATGGACTAACAAATGTCTTTTTAAAAAAATGTAGAAGTTTATTGGAAGCATATACAAACTCCATCTGGGCAGGGGTGTCCCCAAAAGGGATCCCCTGGGGAGGGGCCCCCAAATAGGAAAAGCCTGCTCTCTTCTCTCTCTCTCTCTCTCTCTCTCTCTTTCTCTCTCTTTCTCTCTCTCCTCTCTAATGGGAAAAATTCAATCTAAAAAATCTGTCTCGTTTCTCTTTGTCTCCGGTTTATATATGCTGCAGTTCTTTGTCTGACCCTGACCCTTTCTAATTGGACCTTCCTTAATTGAGGACCTTCGTGCTTTCCTCATTGGTCACTCTGCTACAGGGTATCAATTTCAAAGCTCAAAGCCCATGTGGAGCCTCCCTTTCCCCCCCTTATCTTGCAACATTCCTCTATCCCCTGAGAAAATATGTTTCCCTCTTCCCGATATCTTATTTTTCTTTATCTCTGTGAATGTATGCCTTCCTCCCCCATTATCCTTGGCATTTCTCTATCCTCTATATTACAGCGGTTCTCAACCTATGGGTCTCGAACAATGAAAATACATCCTGCATATCAGATATTTAAATTACGATTCATAACAGTAGCAAAATTACAGTTATGAAGTAGCAACGAAAATAATTTTATGGTTGGGGGTCACCACAACACGAGGAACTGTATTAAAGGGTCGCGACATTAGGAAGGTTGAGAACCACTGCTCTATAAGAAAAGCATTTTGGCATCCCCAAGCCCCCATCTATATATTCCTCTCCCATGGACCCTCTTTATTTCCTAAACCTGCCTGTTTTATCTCTAAAATTCCTTTCAATATCACATTATGAAGTCAACTCTTCCATTCTAAGAAATAATGTGTATTTTCTCTTCCTTTTTTAAAATGGGAGAGTAGGCAACATGCCATTTAAAATAAAAGCAACTTCCCAAAACTATACTTCTCCTATATACTCATGGATTTGTATAAACTGTCTATTTGAAGAAGAAAGATTAACATTCAAATTGATAAAACAAGAAGACTCATAAATATTATTAGATGTTAAAATATGTGGATGAAAAGGGACCACATGCTAACCTGACTAGCTCAGGGAAGGCCTGTGTGGTGGCCATGCAAACTCAGAGACCTAAAGTAACCACAAAGAATGGTTTGAAATTAAAACTTTCTTAACTAAAAGCAGTTTATGGTGGGTAGTCATATCCTAAACTGGTATCTTCCCTGACAAAGTTCAATCTTTACCTTAACTGAGCCTGTCTGTTGTCTTTTTGCATCTATGATAACATATCGTTGGAATGTCAAAGTAATTTTCCTTTTGCCAGACTCCTTAAACCACAGCACAGCTTTGTGGAGACCACAAATCCCCTCATTGTTATTGAGTTAACAGTTAACTGTTAACTATCCTGCACCCACCTAAGTAAAAGAAGTTTGTGTCTATTATTTTACTTTTTAAATCCCAGAGGAGGTTTCTCTGCTTTGCTTTCTCCTGCCTCCCTAATCTATCACCAATGGATCTCATGTAACCCACATACAATTCCTCCTTTGATTGTAATGTATAAAACAAGGTGCAAAACTGCCATTCTCTGGAGCATTATCTCAATCTATTATATTCTGCCTCCTGGCAATTGTCGACAGTTTGGCTCAAATAATCTCACAAAAATTTTTCACAGGTTTGAATTTTTCTTACATTAACAAATAAAAAGTCTGAGAGAATCTGCAAAGGGGGGATATTTTCTTAGATCAGAACTCTTTTCAATCATAAGTAATGTTCTAAAGCAACATTTTATTTTTCCTTTAACATGAGTGAATTTAACACCATGTTAGGAATGTTACTTCAACTGAGGAAAACCAATCCCTACATATGTTTGTTATTTTAGAAATATGGCAAATTTTGAACACTTTCCATCATAAGAATTTTGTAAACTCACTTAAGGGTTAGATAAAACACATTCTCAATATAGAAATTATCTTTTGGGGAGGCCAAGATCTTACAACATTCAGGAAATGAATATTTAGCTGGTGAAAGATACTTTAATTTAGTTCTTTGGGAGTCCCAAGGTGACCGCTGATGGGCTTTTTTGTCACCTATTCCCTAGCCCCAATCTCTCTCTGAAAAATACCCATCACAGCGACCATGCCTATAACTCAGTTCTTCTGGGCTCTTCCTGGAAACAGTCTTTTCATTGAGAAAGGACACCAGTGACTTGTAATTCCACTGCTTCAAACTTACTATGAAGAGCATATGCAAGAAGAAGGAGTTAACCCAGATCCCCAGCATCCAACTCATCTGCTTCCCTCTTCTCCCTGACTCCAATAAAAGACAGTCTGAAGCATAGTTCATCAGAGTTAGAATCATTTTTTTATCAAAAATCTTCTAGGAGCCGTAACCGGTTTGGCTCAGTGGATGGAGCGTCGGCCTGCGGACTGAAGGGTCCCAGGTTCGATTCTGGTCAAGGGCATGTTGGTTGTGGGTGGGCACATCCCCGGTAGGAGTTGTGCAGGAGGCAGCTGATCGATGTTTCTCTCTCATCGATGTTTCTAACTCTCTATCTCTCTCCCTTCCTCTCTGTAAAAAAAAAAAAATCAATAAAATATATATTAAAAAAAATCTTCTAGGAAAAAAATGCCATGCCTTAAAAATGATTAAGTAACTTTCTGATGAATTTTAATGGAATTGAGATTTGTTCTGAGAAACTAGTTATCCACCTAGTAAAGTTTAACCAAACTTTTAAACCACAAACTAAAAATTATTTTCTAAGCATTTTCTTCTCCTCTGTGAAATGAGGAAATTTTGGAATTAACGCCCTAAGCACCATTTCTTAAGTTCCATGGCAAAAGAGCATTGATTAATTAATTAATTAATATTATTATTATTTCCAAATTGTCACTGATACTTTCAGATAATGCAATAAAAATGAAATGCTGGACAAATATTTTTATATTATACAAAATATGAGTCCAGAAATTTTATTATTAAACTATTATTTTATTAAAAATTTGTGCACCCTGCCTGTGCCCTCTCACAGTCTGGGACCCCTCAGGGGATGTCCACCTGCTGGCTTAGGCCCACTCCCC